TCTTCCCCTCAAATTTCCTTCATGCAGTGAGCCAAAGGGGATAAAACTATCAAATCCATCACGCCTCTTTTTTGTGTGTCATTTTCAATGTTAGAAATCGTGCAATAAATAGCCGGCAATTTAGACCCATGCTAAACATAGATATTTATTCTTTCATTATTATTTTTTTATTATTTATTATTATTATTTTGTGTGTGTGTGTGTGTGTGTGTGTGTGTGTGTGTGTGTGTCTTGTGTGTCATATTGATGTAGGTAATGCCAAAGCCCTCGCCATGGCTACTTACTTGTACTTAAGCACGATAATGGCCCCCGATATTTTGAAATCCGCCTTTACGGTCACGAGATTTATGCAGACATTATGTCAACGCCAAGCAAGTGTACAATTTCTTCCCCACACCTTTTATTGCGGTAGATATCCACACACGCACCAAAGGCATGTTTGCATTATACATGTGCTTCATATTTCACAGCCGTTCCCAAGCGTATTTATCAACCACGGGAATCTCTTTATTCGCCAGGAGGTGTGAAGCCTTATTTCGAAGCCTTTCTGTCCGTGGAGACTAAGTCCGTTGATCGAGAAGTGTAGTGTTAAGCTGTACGTGTCGCCCGCCCATTGGATCTAATATTTATGGGCGTTTTAATCGTGCGACTTGCGAAGCCGTAGAGATAATCCGAGAGGTGTGTCAGATACTCGAACGTCGAATATCGCTTTTAACCGGCTGGTGTTTAGACGGTGTGAATGGGATAATAAAGATAATAAATGAGAGAGAGAAAAAAATATATGTACCATTAATACAACGCCCATTAATTTCGAGATATGTCGGACACTCCACCCATGGCCGCTCCTTTTATATTCGTCTTTCGGTTGGTGTTTAAGGGAAATTCTAGAACGTTCGCAGGTATCCGGTCATTTTGTCGTGAATGTTAACGAGCGCCGGGACAAAGGACTGATGACTTTGGGGTGGGGGGGCGATGGGGGATGGGTGGGGGGAGGGGTAATTATCATTCTCCTCTTTTAGGGATTTGCGACCACACCTAGCCGGGCTTTTTTATTTTTCTAGTAGCATGAAACGATTAATTTGGATGAATCTCCCTTTTCTGATCAGGTTATGTACGGATTAGTCCTTTCTCAGTACGTAACTTTTAGTTATTTTCCCCATGAGAGCATAGCAGAACGATTTTTCATTGCAACGATAGTAATAAATCCATCTTTTATACAGTTCGCAAAGAAGAGTAATTTTCCCGCCAAAAATCTGTGCAGACCGACTCGTTTCCCGCCAAATCTAATGCTGCGGCTTCGAATGGTAAAAATGGCTGGCTTGGAATCGCTGTGTAATTACCGGCACCCTGGAGACTCTCCCTCAGGGCGATGGGTGCCCCCAGGCGGGTGCTTTACTCGGGGGGGGAGAGAGGGAGAGGGAAAACGAGGGAGTTTTTGTAGAGCTCGTTGGTGGGGGGGGGGGGTAAGGAGGAGGGGTGCAGTTATACGGTCTTATGACGTCTTGGCAGATATTTGTTGTTGAGGTTTTCACGATATACATTTCTTTCCCTCAAATTCGGTTTTTATTATAGCCGTTGGTAGTTGAACTTGTTGAAAACGTAGCAAGATTCAGATGTTGACAACTCATCAGGTTAGATATGTAGAGACATTTGATATATATATTCTGTTAATATTAAACATTTATATGCATTTGATACTAACCGAACGCGTGACTAGGGATAATAAATTGAAACTAGACGTGTCCTATTTTCACGAGCGCTTTGAAGGACACAACGACGCACGACACGATAGCGAATCCTTCCCCAATAGACCAATAAACCCGTATCTGTAATCGTATATCCGCCATCTGTCTTTGCCTTTTACTCCCCTATTTCCCTTCCGATCCCAATTATTTTTCACCTTCCCCTATTTACCTTCCCCCCCCGCTGTTTATACCCCCCCCCTTCTCCTCCTCCGCCTTCCTCTCCACCTCCTCCTCTCCTCTCTCTCTCCACCTCCTCCTCCTCTCCGATCTTCGCCGGGCACGTGTTGGGTGGTTTGCCGTGTCCCGGTGCACGTGCAGGACGTCCGGGCGTGTCCTAAACGATGTAATTGCGACGGGAAGGAGACACGGCGGCGCTTTGCCAACGGTCGGGTCTCCTGCATAGGATCGCGAGGGGGACACTGGGACCAAAGGGTTGCGGTTCTGCATTGTTCCGAGGTTGCTCTTCTGTTGAGGTCGTTTTAAAGCGTTTATGATCTAAAGCAGTTATTTTTCGATATATAGTGAATTCTATATATCTGTCTATCTTTACATATATACCTATATATGTTTATATATGATATATACATTATATATGTGTATATAAAAATATATATGTATATATATATATATATATATATATATTATATATATATATATATATAATATAATAATATACATATATATATATATACATATATATATATATATAGTATGTATATATATATAATATTGTATATGTATATATATATAACATATACATATATTATACACAAATATTTATAACATATATATATATATACATATATATATATAAATACTATATATATAATAAAATATATAGAATATAACAATACCATACATATTATATATTATATATAATATATATATATATATAATATATATATATATACATAATATACATATAGTAGTCATGGGCGATACTCATTTATTTCATTGATCAAGCACTTCGATTACTTTTGCGATCGGTAATCGATTTGTAATCGATTACAAATCGATTACTTTCAACTGGAAATAGATCGAGATTTCTCTCTCTCTCTCTTCTCTCTCTCTCTCTTCCTTCTCTCTCGTTTTTCTCTCTCTCTCTCTCTCCTCTCTTTCTCTTCTCTCTCTCTCTCTCCGAGGATAGCTCATTTCTTTTCTTCTTCTCTTCCTCTCTTGTCTCTCTCTTGATTCTTCAATCTATCCTCGGTCGCCTCCTTCGTTCTTCATCTCTCTTCTTTGCCTCTCTATTATCTCTTCTCGTCGCATCTAGCGTCTCGTTCTCGTATTGCTTCTCATTCTCGGCTCTCTCTCTTCTCGCTCTCGTCTCTCTCTGTTCCGCTCCTGTCCTTGTCGCCCTCATCTGCTCTCGTCTCTCTCGTATTCCTCTTCGCTCTCCGCTTCTCTCTCTCTCCTTTCTCTCTCTCTCTCTTCTGTCCTCTCGTTCTCTGTGCTCTCTCCCGCTCTCGCTCTCCTCTCTTTCTTCTACTCTCATATCTCCTCTCTCTCTACTCTCTCTTCTTTTCTTCTCTTCTCTCCTCTTTCTCTCTCTCCTCTTCCTCACTCTTCCCTCTCTCATCTCGTCACTCTCTCATCTTCTCTCTTCTTTTTCTCTCTCGATCTCTCGTCCTCATATCTCCGCTCTCTCTCTCTCCTCTTCCCTACTGACTCTCACCTCATCCTTCTCTTCCTCTCTCTCTCTTCCCTCTCCCTCTTCCTGCTCTCTACTCTCTTAACTCTCTCTTTCTGCTCTTCTCTCTCTCTCTTCTCTCTCTTTCTTCTCTCTCCTTCCATCCCTCCTTCCTCCTCACCTTCTCATCAATCTCCCTGCCCCTCCTCAACCTCTGCTCTTCTCATGCTCGTTTCTACTCTTCTCTCCTCATCCCCCATCGGGTTGCCAAGTCATCCTCCCCTCATGGCGTTCGATAGTGTCCTCTCTCCACTCTTTCTACCCTCTCCCTCACCCGTCTCCAGTAAGTCCTTACTTGTATCCATGAATCGTCGAGTAAGTCTCTCTCTTGCTCTCTCTCTGTCGCTCTCCTCTTCGTGTGTTTTCATTTCTCCTCCTATCAGATATATGAAGCCTCTTTCCTCCTCTTCTCTCTTCTCTCTCTTTGCTCTCTGTGTGTGTGTGTGTGTGTGTGTGTGTGTGTGTGTGTGTGTGTGTGTGTGTGTGTTTACGTGTGTGTACGCGTGAGTACTTGTGTGTACATGTTGGTACACGTAGTATCAAGTAAGAACCTTTACATATACAGTATATATATATATATATATATATATATTATATATATATATATATATATATATAATATATAATAATATACATATCATACATGTAAGTATGTATGTATGTAGGAAAATATATGTATGTATGTATAAAAATATATGTATATATATATATACACATACAGACATGTATAGATATATAAATATTTTCCTATATACATACATGTATGCATGCATACGTAGATGCATAGATGAATATAGATATATTCATATTCATAGGCATACGCGTGTCCGTGTTCATTTACATATGAATATGAATATATCTATATATATGCATCTACATTCACATATATACATGTGTGTATATGTGGAAAGGTATGAATGAGAACGAATATCTTCACAATACAAGAGATATCGAGATATTCGTTCTCATTCATACCTTTCCCCATTTAACATGATGAATACGGTTCATGTGTGTATATGTATGGATGTGAGTGTGATGACACAGACACGAAAAGGACAAGGTTCCCTCCACCAAGCAGTTTTTCCTCCTTAAGTCGTTGGGCGTTTACGAAAACCAACAACAGATAATTAATAATGCCTTTCACTCGGCGCGGTTGAATGGTATTAAACAATTATCACCGGCGACTCGCCCACCTGCGCGTCCTAATTGGCTGTTAATGACAGGTAATGATGGCTCAGGTACTGGAGCCATATTGTCAACAGCGTGATCGGGCTAAACGCAGAATCGTTCTCGTTTTGTCTAGGTCGGATTGGGGGTTGTATTTTTGTTATATTTTTATTGATGATATATTGGCGATGGCATTTAACTTTATTTTCATTTTTTTGCGAGGTGATAATTGTTTAATACCATTCAACCCGCCCGAGTGAAAGGCTGGACACCATTAGTGTTTATTTTTAATGTATACGGACATGTTTTTTTTTTATTTATTTATTTGCTTTTTTCACTGAAATTTATACTCAAATAACGTGAGGGAAATTTACATGGATCTTCTTTCTCCCTTACAGGAAGCTGTCAACCGCGCCCGATCCCAGCAGCTGGAGGGGAAAACCGCGCCAGGATTGGCTGTCTACCCGTGACGTCATTCATACTCAAAATGTATACGGGCCTTCTGTCGAGACACAGCTAATTACGAGATTTCTTGGAATTACTTCAAATCAATAACAATAAATCTGGATGATGTGAATTGAAAAAAAAAAATAGAAAAGAAAAGGAAAGAAAGATAAAGACAATAATTATCCTCCCGTGAGTGCGTTGGGCGGGGCCACGCGGGGGCGGGGCTAACGCAGGATCCCAGCAGTGACCCAAGTGAAACCGAGAGGAAAGGATCAGTTGAGCCACGGACGTTACCGAGAGAGGAAGCATACACTAAATGCTCCTCGGTGTTGATGTGAGAGAGTGCGTGGTTGCGCGCTACTTGTGATATGAGAGCAAGATACAAAGTTCCTGTGTTAAGACTAAAGCCTTGTGAAATGGCGACGAAGATGTTTCTAATACTGACAGTGATGTCGTTCGCACAGTTATGTGTGGGATTCGAATATTCGGATTTGATGGCGATGAATGCCACGTGTCCAAATAAGGACTCGTGTAAAAGTGAAAAGGGACCTCGCATGAGTGACCAAGAAGACTGGAAAAAAAGAAACTGCTTTTGTGATAACCTTTGCGCGGAATACGGAGACTGCTGCCTTGACGCCAAGGCCTACAAAGCCGAGGAACAGGCTGAAAAGAGAGAGAACTTCGAGTGTGTGAAGCTGAAGCAGTTTGGCGAACACTACATGCAGGGGCGGTGCATGGCTGGCTGGGAGGACCTGGAGTTGGCGCTGCTGTGCTCCAGCGGGTCGCCGGATTCCCAATCTGATCGGCGGGACCCCTTGGCCGATCTCCCGGTCACGAGCCTCGACTCCGCCGTCACCTACACCAACTACTACTGCGCCGTCTGCAACAACGACTCCAGGTCTCTCGAGATCTGGAAGCCGCGCCTGGAGTGCCCGACGCTGACGAGCTACAACGCCCGCTTCAGGAACCTCACGATGGAGTACATCTTCTCCAAGCTCCTCTACAACGACCAAGACTGGGGCATCTACCTCGACGACAACGGGGTCGAGGTATTCCATACTTGCAGCGTGGACCCCGTCATGCCCGAGACGGTGGCGCACATGGTCAGGAAGTGCAAGACGATGACCAGGGATTGCAAGGAGGAGTGGAGGGACACGGAGGTCGAGGCTCTCTGCCATTCCTACACAGCCGTCGTGTACAACTTCGACAGGCCCTACAGGAACACCCACTGCGCCCAGTGCAACGACGTGCCCACGGAGGCGATGCAGTGCTACAACGGCGTCTTCACCAGGTTCTACTTCCGAGACGACTTCAACCCGAGTTCCTTCTCCCTCCTGTTCGACTTCGTGGACAACAGCGGGAGCAATGTCGTCGGGTCTTCGTCCACGTGCGGGGTTGGCGAGGTGTTCGATCCGTTCTTCAAGAAGTGTCGGAACGTCGTGTGCGGGAAGGCCAACCAGGAATACAGGTTTGGCAGGTGTATCGACCTTGATGTCAGCCCTGCATCGTCCACGGAGGAGATCTCGTCGTCACCATCGACATCTACGACGACGACAGTGCCAACTACGTCCGATGCTGCTACGACAAACCCCGTCGTTGAGTCGGAGGCGAAGGATTCTAGTGATGCTGTTGATGCCAAGGAGGAAAACCGGCGTCTGGAGGAGATGACCGAAGACGCCGCCGTAAGGGTAGAGGAGCCTGCAGCCAGCGACCCCTCGATCACTACAACCGACAAGCCCTTGGAGCCCACTACGACAGCCGCAAGCCCTCCTGAAGTGCCTGTCTCACCCTCAGACACCACGACAGAACAAGCCCAAACACTGTCCTGCGAGAGGTTCCTCCTACCAAGCGAGGAGTACACGATGGGTGCCAACGGGACAGTCGTGGTAGAGAAGTACCAGCGGACGTACCAAGCTCACGAGTACGAAAGACGTGAAGGAGGAATCCTTGTGTGTATCATTCAGCCTGAAGCGGACAAGTTCTCGAGTCTGATGGGCTGGATGTCCCTAGCAGGCCTGGGTTTGTCGTGTGTGTGTCTCCTGCTTCACCTCGGCGCCTTCCTGCTGGTGCCTGACTTGAGAAATCTTTCTGGGAAGAATTTAGCCTCGTTGTGCATAGTGCTACTGGCTGCTTATACTACGTTCATCCTGAGTGTGTTCGGCGAGCCTGGCAAACGAGAGTGTTTCATCCTCGCGGCTGCCATGTATTACTTCTTCCTTTCCTCCTTCTGCTGGATGAGCGTCATGGCATTCGACATCTGGAGGACGCTCAGGATGGCCACGTCGGAGCTGCGTGTGAGTGTGGGCGGACAGTGGCGCAAGTTCGTCGCCTATTCCCTGTACGGATGGGTGCTTCCTGCCGCCGCCCTCGTCGCTCTGGTCGTCCTGGATCTCGTCCGGCCGGAGGGCATGCCGTCTCACTACTTCCCCACCTTGGGCGAGCGTTGGTGCTGGTTCGGGCAGAGGAAGGCTCTGCTGGTGTTCTTCGCGGCGCCGCTGGCAACCATAATGCTCATCAACATCATTCTCTTCATCTTCTCGGCCAGGATCATCGCTGAGACGACCCAGTCCACGGCCAAGATGACCTCCTGTAACCCCCATCAGAACCAGTTCAAGTTGTACATGAGGCTGGCACTCCTGATGGGCCTCACGTGGATCAGCGGCATCGTGGCGGGGTACCTCCAGATGGAGCCCATCTGGTACATCTTCGTCCTGCTCAACACCCTGCAAGGCGTCTTCATCTTCCTGGCCTTCACCTGCACGCGTAAGGTGTGGCGCGTCGTCGGCGGCGGATGTTGGAGGAGGGTCGTCCTCGCTCGACGAGGGGTGTCGTGGGTGGGTCGCAGCCCGTCCTCCAGCAGGCAGGGCCTCGAATCTCGGGACTCGAACGACTCGCAGTTATCTCA